CAGTTTTCCACATGTATGTTTCACATACAAATAATACTTTTCTATCTTTGTATGCTGTAGTTTCATCAATCTAGCCTAATTGGTATGAGGTGGATATTTCACTCTAAATAAACAACTGCTCTCTCGCTCCTGGTTACATGATGTTTCAAAATTGACTTGTGGATATCTTCTGAATTTTGCCGGGTTTGTGCAGTTCCAGATATATTTTTTAAAAGAACAATTTACCTGGGTCTGCCTTTTTGGCATTGTAATATATACCGACTGTTACAATATATGATTGCAATTTTAATTGACCTGAACTTGGATGCACCAGATTTGTTGTGACAATCTGCATTCAAAGAGAAATTGACGGGAAAGCTAGGATTACTCCAAGCAGGTTCTGATTTTGAATTTTGGCTTCCAGTCTAAATCTTCAATGGCTCCCTTTGTACAGAAATTTGTAAAAAGAGGTTCTCTTTGAAATACTAAAATTTCAGGCAATTTTAAGTGTTGTATATATCTCTCAAGTTGGAAGTTGTATATCCAATGGCTTTATATGTATTGAACTCAGGCCTGATTCAAAATATTTAATGTCCGTCTAATTGTACAGTCCTTCCTTAGTTGTGGCAAATTTTATGTTTAGACTGTAAGGCATTCAATTTTGTGTGTGTAAAGTAATGATATTACTCTAGTGTTGCTGTGGTTTGTGATCAGCAGAATGGTTGGAGCATGATACTCTATTTTGGTTTTATTGGACTTTGCTGCTTTTCAAAATAAATCTATTCTTTATATCAACTTTTAAAACTGGTAATACTTAAAATATGTAAAATGTACAGTGATGGTTACAAGAAATTCCTACAACTTTGTACTGTGAATGAATAACTGTGTAGTTTTCAAATCTTGAATGATGTTGCTTTATTGAAATAATAAACTTTTCATATTTTCACCTTTTAAGGTGAGAGTGTAATGCCTCCCAAATGGTTAAAATTCAATGTTTCCCACAGCAATCTAAAGGACTAAAAATGTACCTAATATTTCATCATTGTGGTGGTGTTTTCGCTGCATATACATTGTTACTGCAGCATTTCTGAGTACCATAAATTTCAGCACTCTTGAAATGATACAGTAATGTTTGTATTAAGCTGAAACTACAGCAAAGAATAAGGTACATCATAGGTCCAATGAATTTAGAAAACAAATGAACCAAAAAACACACATCCAATATACATGGAAACTAAATGCAATAAAATGACCATAAGATGTCACTATAGCATAACAAGTGTGAGGTTCTAAAATGGAACATAATACCAAAAGTTCTTAAGTCAAATGTAGTTTCATGTCACATTAACAGCCAAACTTCATTTATGTGTAGCATAGGCCACTGAAGAACTCCCCCCCCCCATTAAAAATGAGTCTCAAGTTAAATGGATGAGTAAGCATACTTGGGGTCACAACATCATATTCACTTTCATAGGGGCTTGGTATATATGTTCAGTTTCATATTATTTACCGTAAACTTGCTTCTAAGTAAATATATGTGAGCTGGACAAAAGCAACTTGAAGGAAAGTTTTCGGTGACTTGTGATCCTCATAGACCTATGTATTCATGTATATGTTTAATTTTATTAAGAATTTTTGCAAGGGATAACTATAAAACCTTCAAATGTTTAGTCGCATGAGCCTAATTTGTTTCAGCAGCAAGCAGTTCCCCTAATTGCTCACCTTATGAAACGATACAGAGTTGGATTTTCAAAAAGTATGGAAGTTGGCAAATTGAGAGCAATGTGGCTTGGTGTGGGTGTGTTCTGTTTTGTTTTTAATTCCATATAGGAGTTTGATGTACTTAACAGACTGCATAGTTTTCAATCTCCAGGATAACTTACAGTATTTCTGAAACTAATATTATCAGTCTTTGTCATAGAATTGTAGAGTTGAAAAGGACCATGAGGGGCATCTAGTCCAACCCCCAACAGTGCAGGAATCTTTTGCCTGACAAGGGACTTGGGCCCACGACCCTCAGATTAAGTCTCATGCTCATGAGCTCTAAAGATGGAGCTTTTTATACTCTGGTAGCTGAGCAAAAGTGCTGGGCGATAGCAAAAGCATTGAATTACACAAAATATAGTTTCATGTACATCATACAATACAAACATCTGAAAGAACAATTATTGGTGCAGTATTTGGTATAACGGAGCCGAATGGTTTCGAATTAGTAAGTCCAGAAGATTGTATTATTGATCTATCGTGCCGATAATGAGAAGTGAAGCAGTCTGTAAAGACTTAATGAGTTCCAACAGTGTGCTAGTGGATGTGACAAGGCTAAGGAGTACAGTGGTACCTCAGGTTACATACGCTTCAGGTTACATACACTTCAGGTTAAGAATTTTGCTTCAGGATGAGAACAGAAACCGTGCTCCGGCGGCTCGGCAGCAGCAGGAGGCCCCATTAGCTAAAGTGGTGCTTCAGGTTAAGAACAGTTTCAGGTTAAGTACGGACCTCCGGAACGAATTAACTACTTAACCCGAGGTACCACTGTAAACCCTACACAAATCCAGAGATGGATGGGGCCTGTATGCTTCCTTCCGGCAGCTCCTGAATCCAAGCTAGTACAAAACATATTGCTCTGCTTTCCTTTGGAATACATCAGCGATGCCAAGAGGGGGGTCTGGTGGTCTGGCCAGCCCTCAATACACACTGCTCAGGCTTGTGGACTGTGAAAGGTCACTTCAGTGCTGCTAATGCAGTGTTTGTCTTCACCCCTGGAGACGTATGCCATTGTCTCTTGAGACAGATGGATGCTAACAATATAGACACCATAAATGTTGTTACTGAACCTGTCCTATCTTAAAGGCTGTGGTAGATAATCCTGCCCATCTCTTGGTGTCATGGTGAATGAGGCCAACAACTAGGAATGGCTATATAATGTCTTTCGAAGCTGAAAAACCATACATCACTGAAGCTGGGAAGGAGCAAAAGTCAACATCAGGACGCTACACTCCCTATTCATTCAATATATACTGTATCCCAGTCCACATTGACCCTCCAACAACAAAATTAAATTACCACATCTTTCTGTCGCTCCCTCTCTTCTTTAAAGTCAACCTTCATAAAGGTGGCTTAGATAGGTTTTAAGAGGATACCCAGAATGTACAGCAGATCAGAAGAAGACACCTGTAAGGCCTCTCTGTGAACACCTGGTGCCCTGTCAGCACATTGTCAGTAAGGATAAGATCCAAACTGGCCATACTGAAGCCCACAACTAGGAAGTGAGGACAGTAGCCATCTTCTGCCACTGTTTTCCAGAAACCAGTATTCAGTGGCTTGCTATTTCTGATCCTGGTGACAGTATGGCCAGCATATCATGGATGCTTTAGCTGAGGTTCATGCATTGCAGGGGATTGGACTAGATGAGCCTTTGTGTACCTTCCAACTGTACAGTTCTTTGATTCTATGTCTTATCCCCCTCCTGAATTTGTCAAATTCCCTTTTAAATCACTCTCAATTTACGCCCATCACCGTATCTTGTGGAAGCAAATCCCAAATTAATTTTAGAGATTGTAATGCAACATTACCAATACTACAACTCCCCTTAAAATTTCTTTTTCTTGGTTAAGAAAATTGCTTAGCCCTAGTGAATATAAGTAGGCCTGAAGTGCTTTGAAGGGGCTGTGACTCACCATGATAATGATAAGGTAAGAGTGCAAGAACCTCTTCAATCCTCCTTGCCTTCAGCCAGTAATGTAGCAGCAGCAGCTGTTCTTAGCTTCAGCTTGTCAGTCAGTTTGTTTATCCTGCTTATGACCCCATTTCTTGATTCCTACCCCCAATTACTTGTACAGTGGTACCTCGGGTTAAGAACGTAATTCGTTTCGGAGGTCCGTTCTTAACCTGAGGTACCATTTTAGCTAATGGGGCCTCCCGCTGCTGCCGCTGCGCCGCCACCACACAATTTCTGTTCTCACCCTGAAGCAAAGTTCTTAACCTGAGGTATTATTTATGGGTTAGTGGAGTCTGTCTTCTGAAGCGTCTGTAACCCGAGGTACCACTGTATATGCTTTATAATACAGTATATGATGTGTGTTGTATAAATGACATGCTGTAGAAAATGCAATAGTTTGGCCTAGGGGTGGACTTTGGTAATACAGTGGTATCTCGGGTTACAAACACTTTGGGTTACAGACTCCGCTAACCCGGAAGTAGTACCTCAGGTTAAGAACTTTACCTCTGGATGAGAACAGAAATCGCGTGTTGGTGGTGCAGCGGCAGCAGGAGGCCCCATTAGCTAAAGTGGTACCTCAGGTTAAGAACAGTTTAAAGGTTAAGAACGGACCTCCAGAATGAATTAAGTTTGTAACCAGAGGTACCACTGTATGGCACCATGAGTAAAAACAAAATTTGGCGCCCCTTCCAGACCTCTATATAAATATAGGCTTGTTGTTGTTGTTTTGTTGTTGTTGCTGCTGCTGCTGCTGTTATTGTTGTTGTTGTTTTGTGCCCCCTTGGCTCAGCACTCTGTGCAGTGGAGCACTGCCCTAAATCCAGTGTTGAGTTTGGCCTATTAAGAACTTGAATTAATTGAACCTAGAGCTATGGGTCCTTATCTGACCTTAAGAGAGCACAGTTGGTTGAGCTAGTGCTTCAACTTTTGACCTACCCCTGTAGTTTCTACAGAAGGTGCACTTTTGTTAACTCCAATAATAAGTATAATAAGATTAGAGGTAAACACACAATGTGGCCAGTTCAGAAAAAGAAGCAGATCTCTGTTTTTATTTCTCGCTTTCTGATCCATCTTTTATGATTATAATAAACAGATAAATAAGTAAATAAATGACCCATGTGTTCTTGTTTGGATTAATGCAAGTGACTACTCACGCAGCGTTTTGAAGCAATTCTGTTTCTGTGTTTTTAGACGGAGCTCCTAATGATCTCAATCATAAATGACATGCCTAGGGTGACTACATTTCCAAGAGACCAACAAAAGCTGTTTGTTGGGGGGTTGGGGTGCAGAGGAAGTTTGAGAGTAAAATGGAGCTACAAGCCCATGTCCTGTGACAGGGAGAATGTATAAATGTTTAATAAAGTTTGCTGTGGATGAGATCTATTAATAAGCTTGAGTGGCCAGAGGGACAGGTATTGTGTTCGTTACTATAGCATCACCTCGCACAGGATCTGTGTGAGAGAGACGGCGGAAGAAAGCTGGGAGAGAGGATGAGCAAGTTATAGCGTGTTTCAGTCGTGTGCACCAGCTGAAGCACCAGGTCCAGCGTTTCTAACCTCCAGGTGTAGCCCTTTGTTCTTTAATGATGATCAGCCACGGAGCAACAATAGATGAAAAACAGAGCCACTACAATTCTGCTTGAGCTATTGGCAGTTCTGAGGAGACTCTGCTGAAATTTTCACTCTGACGGATATTTTGGAGTATCAACATTGTGTTGTCGTACCAGGGATAACAGAAAAATAATAATAGAGGAAAGCACTGAGGCAGCCTGCTAAAGTCTGGGGGAAACTGGCGATGACAGCAAACAAAATGTTACATTAAAGGATTTATTTAAGGAAGACAAGATGCCTTTTGAAGTGTTTAACTCATTAAGGGAGAGGTTTTTAAAGCCTGGGAAGGAAGAGGTGAAGAATACTGTGAGTGATTCACTGGGACACTTCCAAAGGTAAAAACTTAATGTAAACTTCAAAAATGTAAGCAAATAAAGTTTAGGTTTAAATTTGGAAAGGAAATTTGTAAGGATAATTGAATAAGCAGCATATGCAAGGAACTGTACCTTAGTAGCAAAGTAATGGGATAAAACACACACACACTACCCCACTATAAAATATGAGCTGCTAAAATATGAAATAATTGCAAAATAGGCCTAGTGTTAAGCATTTTAAATATTGTTGATAAAACTTAGACAAAGCTGATTTAATGCTAAATAATATCCAGAAAGAAAACCAAAGGCAAATAAAATATCAATAAAAAGAACTGAAATAAAAGAAACATATACTGAAAATAAATGTGAAAATTTCATGTGATTTTATATCTATACCATGTATCTAAATTTATATCCATGTCATGTTTTAGAAACGTAGAGGTGAAACATAGAGCACAGTTCAAAAATTGTAGCTTGTGTAAAACTGAAATTGCAAAAGTGACCATGAATCTGATTAAACTCTTTGATCTTCTGATGCGTGTAGATAGATAGTCCAACTTTACTTGATTTTGTCAGTACAGGTGTACTTAGGATCGTAACCAGCATCAATTTAAAGGCAAGCTTTTTAGCTTAACTGGATTGTGTCTGTTTGTCTATAATATGCTTGGATATGTTAAAAATTGGCAGCCATTTAAAAGTTTATAAGAGAAAAACCATAGGGGTGAAAGTGCAGAAATTCACAATATTCACATTGTTTCAAATACACGAATTTCCTGAGGGGCGGCTGTTTCAGTTTGTCGCAGTAAAAACAACAGAGTGTTGTGCCATTTTAAAGACTAACAAGTTTATCATTAATCTACCAAAAAATTGAAAGACTCAGACAGTTAGACTTTTTTTTTACCAGCCAAATAATCAATTGATGTATTGTCATGGGGAGCATATCATTTTTGCAAAACAGCACAATTATTTGTTAATAATAAAGATTCTCTTTATGCATTTATTTATGTCATTTCTATGCTATCCCCAAACAATAAAGTCTCTGGGCAATGTTTTACAAAACCACTAACAGGACTCATTTAGTATATATGTATATATGTGTACACACACACACACACACACATTATAATATACTATTATATTATCATTTATGTAGCTTGCAATGCTATCTAGGTTGCAAACCTGAGATGAAGCATCACTAAAGACAACAGATCTACTTCTGAGGAAACATGCATTGGTTCATGCTGCTCATATATAATGACTTATTCATACTTTCTGAATGTACAGATATAGGTTTCTGTTTCGTCCTGGGTAGGACTGTACAGAATGTACAGATATAGATTTCTGTTTCGTCCTGGGTAGCCAACTTGTCGCATATCTTACTTTCTTGTAAACTATTTTAAAAGAGCCAAACAACCCACCAACTGTAGATATATAATAAACTGCAATATCATTTTTAAATTTTATTACACGCAAAGCTTTAAACAAATAAACCTTTAAGAGATGCCTCTTCTCAGATAATATATTTCTTTGACATGTTAGGACAGAAATAAAATGAAAGATGAAATAAGGAGCATTTATCACTCAAAATCATGCTTGGATCTGGTTAAGGTGTTTGTCTTTTAAAGTAAGACCTGTTAAATGATAAAGACATCGTAAGCAGTTAAAGATATTAATACAGTATATGCTATTAAATGTAAAAACTGCTAGAGTTCCTAGGATTATTTTGAAGCTTTCCCAGTTTTTCTTCATAAATATTGTTAGGAAGATATGGTATGAGGAAGATATTTTTTCATTGGCCAAGGACATTTGGTCAATATGCCTTCATACACCTACAGATTTCCTTCATATACCTACAGATTTCCCGCTTTATCATATTACATGTTGACATCAAAAGTGAGCTGACGTCAAAAGTGAGCTGACAGTAAATTAATATATATCTATGAATTATTGACAAAGGTATCTCCAGTAGGTAGAACGAGTAGGTCATACTCTGGCTATTTTGATACCCTTGCAAAATATTTAAATGGTACTCAGCTCTGCATTGGTTCATTAAATGCTTTGAAGGTATAAAGTAACTCATTGTACGGTTTTCAAACTTCTGCTCCATTTCCAGTCAGCCAGAAAACCTGTTGTTGGGTCTCTCTTCTATAACACTTGCACCAATAAATCCATCTATTTCATGTACTTTTAAGTCCCAGTAGATTCCTGCTGCTTAGGCCCTCTCATTGTCTCTGCCTCAAGCACTGCTCACTACATTGCATCAAACCCATATATTTTCCTTAATGCTCTAATTTCTGCATAGCAAACAAGAAGCATCAAAGCAACCTAGAAAGGAAAAGTCACTCCCGTATGCTGCAACAAAACTGGTCCCATAAAGTGCTGCTCTACATAGTCACCTAGGATCAACAGGGAGCAAGACTGGCCCTGCAGAAAATGTTTAATTTGAATTAAATAATAATGAGGCATATTGTTTTGGTTGACAATTGTGCATTTAATAGTTTGAAATTATTTAAAGAAGTATTGTATTTTATGACTGCATTAAAATCCTTATAGTTCTAATCAGAATTAGCCAACCAACATGGTGCCCTCCAGATGTTTTTGACTGCACTTTCCATTATATCTGATCATTAGCAATGCTAGTCAGTACTGATGAGCATCCAGCAACATCTGGAAGGCAGCATGGTGGCTACCCCAGGAGGGATCAAACAGAGTCCAAACAAAAGTGAAGGCAAAGTATACTCAAACCTATCCATGGTGGAGAAAACCCATCAAAAGACAGTAAAGAAGTGATAGAGAAGTGCATCTTTGGAGAAGATAGGTGCTTAGCACTTGCCATTTGAGTATCATGCATGGGGGGGGAGGCATAAATTAAAAAGGACCCTCCTCATGAGCCCCTGGTAGACAAGAGAGAAGCATCATGTTGTGTATTGGAAGGTGATTAAGATGCCTTGTCCCTTTCCTAGAACAAGACAACTTTAGCACCACAATTTGGTTTTGTGAGTTAACTCAGATGGGTACATGTTTTACACATTTCTAATTGACGGACAAGAAATCACCATGTTTTCAGCTAGATTGAGTACTGGTCCCTGAATCTGAAAACTACATTCCGGTTACCTCCTGAAAAGTCTCATTTAATGGCATTAGAAAACATGGGTTACTTCTGTATAGAGCTTCCCAAACTGCTATGCCTAGAAACAATGCAATGTTGGTATTTTATATGGATTAGATACCATCTTGTCCTTTGCCTCAGGAACAAAATATCTTGGGCCAACCCTGAGAAGGTATGTATACACATGGCCGTGGTGGGTGGTTTGTATACAGTGGGATATAATAATAATAATAATAATAATAATAATAATAATAATAATAATAATTTATACCCCGCCCATCTGGCTGGGCTTCCCCAGCCACTCTGGGCGGCTTCCAAAAAAATATTAAAATACTGTAATACATCAAACATTAAAAGCTTCCCTAAACATAAGAGGGAAATATAACGCAGGAAGTATGCACAAATACAATTATGTTATTTACAGTGGCCATTCAAAAAGTTGTTGATAAGAACACAACTAGCTGCTCTGGAAATTGTAGGTGGGTGGCTCATTTGATCTGTGAGGGGGTGTTCAGTCCCCCTTAGAAGCCATTAGGGCCTCCAAAGTCAATGAAGCCATCTTCAGCCCCTTCTGGACTGCACTCCTTCTAAATGTTTAGGTTTGCCATCTAGGGGTGTTATTAGATCTGGCCTTGTCTTTGGAGGTTATGTTGCTTCTCTTCACGTCCCTTTTAACTTTTGCATTGTGTCATATTTATATTATGTCACATTATAAGATTGAAAGCATGTGAGCAAAGTATTTTCTACTGGTGACCTTGTTTCTGGAAGAGGTCATGGAAAGGAGTAAGTGGTAATTTGAAGAAGGGCTTCATGAATTGTTAAACCACTTTGGCAACAAGGTATTGCCCCTGCAAGTCCACAGTTCTTTTTCCCAGAGATATCTCACACCAAACATGCCTCCCAATTGCAGCTGTGGTGGCAAAGGCATGCCTAGCTCAATAAATGCAAGACCAGTGTAGCAAGATAAGAAAAGTTCTGAATTAGTGCAGGAAAGGAGCAAACAGGAGGTGGTAAACATCACTTGAGAGTTCCAGAAAGCTCAAGGGTAGCCCAGATGGCAGTCTAAATATCCCTGTCAGTTCGTCTCCTCACTTGACCTAACTGCTATTGCTTACAGAATTAATTATGAGGAGGCAATTATTCCAGTCAAGATGAAGAAGAATGTATCTGAACAGATAAACTGATTTGAACCTAATTAGGCGAAACCCTCTATGGCCAAGAGCACTGTGGTTTGGGACAGATGTTCAGCTATTGCCATGCCAGGCAAACTTTTTCATCTGATTTCTGATGCCAGGTGCATTTGCAATTGAAGTCTATGAGCCTGCATAATGCTGTCAGAATGGTGGCCCCAACATTCTCTTGAAACCATGGATAATATTCAATTGTGTTGGTGCAAAAACAAAATGGACTTCTGCTCATGCAACTGGGCTTCTGGTGCAACTTGCAAGCTGCTTTGGAGGGTTGGAGGACACCTCTGGAGCAGGTTTGTCAGTGGGGCAGGAAGAGGAGGAACTGCAAAGGGAAGAAGAGAAAGAGGAACTACTGCACAAATTGAAGTCTATCTGTTTATGCACCAACACAATGGATTTCATAAAATCCCTTTGGAAATAAAGCAGACCAAAAGGTAGTGGCTTTAGTGAGATCCAAAACTAGCATATTTGAAGGTTAGATTGCAGGTCCTCATAACAGAAACAACTAAACACACAGAACTTGCTGGATTGTGTCTCATTGTTTTAATAGCTGCCTATGCATATATATATATATATATATAGAGAGAGAGAGAGAGAGAGAGAGAGAGAGAGAGAGAGAGAGGGACGCGGGTGGCGCTGCGGGTTAAACCACAGAGCCTAGGGCTTGCTGATCAGAAGGTCGGCAGTTCGAATCTCCGTAACGGGGTGAGCTCCTTTTGCTTGATCCCTGCTCCTGCCAACCTAGCAGTTCGAAAGCACAAAATAATAGTAGATAAATAGGGAAGGTAAATGGCGTTTCCGTGTGCTGCTCTGGTTTCGCCAGAAGCGGCTTAGTCATGCTGGCCACATGACCCGGAAGCTGTACGCTGGCTCCTTCGGCCAGTAAAGCGAGATGAGCGCCACAACCCCAGAGTCGTCCACGACTGGACCTAATGGTCAGGGGTCCCTTTACCTTTATGCATACACACATACACACACACACACACACACACACACACACACACATTGCTGTTAGCCCTCTTGAATTTATTAAATGAAATGCAGGAAAGAATGCATGTTTCTTTATTTGAAAGAAATGTTTCAAATAAATTAATACAGAATTAGGTTTTTCTGAGGCATAAAATCTCCTTTGGGAGCAGGGGGGACGGACCCATTCTTTGTAAAAGCAGACCATTTTTTATTTCCAAAGTAGGTTTGCAAAGTCTCTTACACACACTTCCCAAGTTCCCAACCATCAGCTGATTGCCATCCACTTGGGAAATGCTGGGAATCAGCACAGCCTTTGGTCCAAGCCCTGCCTTTACCTGTCTCTCATGTGATGTCACAAATGATATCAGGTGTAGAGCAAGTGGGAATGGCTTGGCCAAAACATCTGCACAGGCAAAATGGGGAAGCCTAATTAGGCCTATGGGCTGGATGTTTTCCACCCAGAGTTATCATGATGTGTGAATGGGCCTGAGACAAACCTGACAGCTGCCCCAGTATTTCTCTATTGCTCTGAAATCTTCAAGGCCTTATGCAAAAACCCCAGCTGCTTTCTTTCACATGCTCCGGTTACAATTAATTGGGAACAGCTAACATGGGAATGTAATTGTAGCAGCTAATCAGCATATTACTTCAACTACACATCAACAGCTTGTCCTAAGAACATCTTTTTACTTTTACTTTTTTTTAACATCTTCAGAAAAATTGATGGAACCAACCAAGAAGAAGATAACATTGAACTGAATGAAGAAGGAAGGCCTGTGCAGGCAGTGAGAAAACCTTTATTTGACTGCTATTGCTGTGGACTTCCCAAACGTTACATCATTGCCATCATGAGTGGCTTGGGGTTTTGCATTTCTTTTGGAATTCGATGCAATCTTGGTGTTGCCATAGTGGAAATGGTTAACAACAGCACAATCTATGTCAATGGAAAGCCAGAGATTGAGGTGAGTAGGGACATATGTTATTTGATACAGAGAAATGACATCTCCATTTAGCTGGGAAGACTATGTAAGAAGTCCATATGCCAGATCAGATGTTTGAAAGATGATAGCTAAATGCTTTCATTTTTGTATGGGTATTCAGATAGTATAAGGGCTCGTCCATGCTTCTGCTTGTCTTCGGAGAGGTTTTTCCTTTGCCTCATGGCTTTCCGCTGGAAAACCCACACTTTAGCCCTAAATAGGAACAAATATGCAATATGCGGAAATATCCAATTACCAATTGTTCTAATTCAGTGCCAAAGAGTTGAATAATAGGCGAGGCTGCTATCCTAGGCACACTTACCTAGAATTAAGTGCCACTGAACACAGTGGGACCCACTTCCAAGTAAAGAACTATATGATTGTAATGTAAATATGATAATTATAGGGCCCAGGTGGCAGAGTTGTGGAACAAGCAACCCACTTTAAACCACCTTGCCTATTCAGGTAGATGATCCACCCTTGTTAAAACTTTTAAAATAGCTAAGATTTTGCTTTTCTCTTCTGTCTCCAATCTATGGTAATGTTCAGTAAAATATTTCACATGGTATGCCTCAAATAAACAAAAGCAAACCTTGTTAAATGGGACTTGTATTGTGCATTTAATGATATCTTTCTAAATGAAAAAAAAAACTTTAGAAGGGAAATTATATAATGCCCCTTATAATATTTGATAATTTAACTGCACCTCAACTAACTGATGAAAAGGCAGTTGCAAAGTGACACAGACAAGGTAATTTTCATAGCTTTTGATAAGATAAAATTCCACAAATTTTGTTTCAGAGCTCTAAAGTGAGTGCAGGCAATCATGTGACAAAATGTATCTTCTAAACACTGGTGTGCAAATTTCATATGCATATGTCTTATTTGTAGAAAGCACAATTCAACTGGGATCCAGAAACAGTAGGACTTATTCATGGCTCATTTTTCTGGGGTTACATTGTAACACAAATTCCAGGAGGCTTCATTGCAAATAAACTAGCAGCTAACAGGTATGATAAGATAATATGATGTAATAAAGTAATTACTACAATTTTATATGTTATCTAATGCTGTATCTTTAAAAAACCAAGTTATATTTCAAGAATGCCACAGTAGTTTTAGTAACTGGGAACTGCTTTGTGAACTTACACAATGAATGTGATGATGATACTATCTGTGACATTAAAAGGCTGAATTATACTAGTTACTATTTAATTTTAATGATTGTGTCTAACTCTAAGATGAAGGTATTCTGCTCCTTGTGTAATAAGCCCTGGATGTCAACTTAATAAAAGGAAAGCCATTTCAGTTGCTCATCTCACTAGAAAACGTAATTCTAGATACACAGTGATCTGTACAAATAAAAGGGTCTACATTTTCCTACTGTTAATCTTATCAAAATAAAAAGATACAAACTCACCCACAGAGGGGTAGAATGACTAGGGGGCTGTATTTATGTATGGCCATTTGTGGAGCAGAGTTGTACTGTATATATGTAATCAGATTCCCACTGTCCAGCACTCAATTTTGGCCATTGCTCAGGATGAATCCTGAACCCAGTAAGGCTAGATACTGGCTGTTGGAATATCTTGTGACCAAGATATCTACTTGGCACTGAATCACCTATGCCACTTTGCCAACCTGCTGTCTTCCAGATGTTTTGGACTACAATCCCCATCCACTTGCACTGGCTGCTACTAATGGGAGTTGTAGTCCAAAACACTAGGAAGGCAGTTGGTTGACAAAAGCTAATCTATCCTATGTACGCATTGAACAAAGCACAACTTAACAGTAGCAGTTGGCAAGGGTGTCAATGTCTGTCATAGGCAGCGCCTTTGTAGCTTATTGGGAGGGTGAGGTGGCAGTGAGGTTGTCATGGTTCAAACACACCAGCAGAGCCAATCCAGCCAGTGCCTATGCACTGTGCTGACCTTATCCTCCAGCCGTACCCCTGGTAATCCTTAGCAACAGGAGATCAGGCAAGTGCTGCTGGCCATCAAGTATTGCAACTCAAAAATAATATTCTGAGAACGACTTGGCGTCAGGTTAAAAACCTTATTTTGTCTTATGGCAATTGCAAAAGGTTAAGAATCTATTTCAAATCATAGTTTAGTATACATTCTACAAGGCATTTAATTGTCTGGTATTTGGTAATAAAAGGACGAGGAATGTGACGCACGTGAATATTGTCTTTCAAGAACAGAGTCTTGTTGATCAACATCATACATAATTTAAGAACAGATTTCATGCTGGCAACTTCTCATCATTTCTGGATTGTCGAAAGCCACCTCATGAACAAATTAAAAGCTGCTTTTTAGGGTGATTCCCCACACTATTTGATTCCTACATGGAAGGCATTTTGATGTAGGAATTAATATGTAAACTGTGTGAAGATGGTTAAGTGCAATTTCAGTGGGTCTACTCTGAATAAAACTTGAATGTCACCCATTGTGTTTTCTTCTGCATGTACAAGGAAGCTATGGCCAAATAAAATCCAATCCAAAATAATTGCAATAATATCCTTTTTTGTATTTAATATTCCAAAACTTAACAGTAATAATTTTGTACAGAAAATAACTTGCCTTCTACACCCTTTCACAAGCCATAACTAAATAAATTAATTTAATCCTGCTGAAAACTCCATATTCAGTGAGTAATAGTTAAAAAGATCATAGATGTTGAAACATCTTTTGTCGATGAGTTGTAATCTTATTCCTTAAGAATTCTAACTGCATTTTATGCAATATTGCTTTTGAAAAGAACATCAGTGTGGCTTGCTGACACCTCACATCACTAAAGCACATGTCCAGTTTCCTGTGGATTTGCAGATAGTTCGTTTTTTGTGAGATTATGGTTTTTGCACTCATTTTAAGAAAACAGGAAGCTGCCATCTTAGGTCAGACTCTTTGTCCATTTATCCCAGCATCTTCTACTGACTGGCTGACAGTGGGGTCTCCGGTACTTTAGACATACGCCTTTCCTGTCACCTGCTAACCCATCCTTGAGATTTGCTGGGATTTAAACTTCAGCATGCAAACCAGCCCCCATGTACTTTATTGCTGAGGCACAGTAAAGAGCCATCTACAAAGTCTTCTGAAGAGCTTGACACGCTCAGGTTTTAGAACAAGATTACTTAATTCTGAAGTTTGCCAGATTAATGTGTTGAACTAATCACAAAATTTTACCCACCATAAGAATGTGGATCAATGCAAGATGAGTCTTATTCAAATGCAAGTCAAGTAACTCAGATGTGTCCATGTAAAAAATTGGCAAAGTCATCCAGGGTCACTGTTTCTGAACATCAGGTCTAAAAGAGGAGAATTTTCCTGGAAAGCTTATGAACATCATTCACATATTATATAATTGTGTTGATATAAATCAAATGATAATTTTTGGGCAGCGTCTTCACCCAGACACAGAGAAATCACAAAAGCTGACTGTAATCCCCCTTCTTTTAGTTTCTGATGGATGACATGGTTTAGCTATGCACCTCTTAAGACTTTATAGTATTAACGGCTGTTTAGATTGTTATATATGTGCAATATGAAGTATTATCTCTCTATAAGATAATAGGGGGGAAATATTGTTCTTTCTTTACAGGGTATTTGGAGCAGCTATTTTCCTAACTTCCATGCTAAATATGTTCATTCCTGCAGCTGCCAGAGTACATTATGGTTGTGTTATGTTTGTAAGAATTTTGCAAGGTCTTGTGGAGGTAGGTATCCAATATATTTGTCTAAGATATTTCTTAAGGGCATATGAAGAGCCAAGATAGATCAGGCCAAAGGCCCATCTCGTTCAGTATCTTAATCTCACAGTGGCCAACCAAATGCCTAGGAGAAGCCTACAACAAGGCGTGAGGACAACCCTTGCCCCACATATTTCCCAGCAACTGGTACTCAGAGGCATAGTGTCTGCAATACTGAAGATGGCACACAGCCGTAATGACTCGTAGCCATTGATAGGCTTATCAATGAATTTATCCAGCCCTCCCTTGGAATCCCTTTTAAGATCGGTGGCCATCACTATCCTATGGCAACAAATTTCATAGTGTAACCATGCTCTGTGTGAAGCGTATGACAAAAGTACTTTCTTTTGTCTTTCCTGAATCTTCCAATACTCAGCTTCATTAGATGTCCCAACTTCTAGTATAGGAGAGGGAAAAAAACCTTTCTCTAAGCACTCTTACGGGGCGTGGGTGGTGCTGTGCTGTGCCGCCCAGAAGGTCGGCGGTTCGAATCCCCGCTGTGCTGTGCCGCCCAGAAGGTCGGCGGTTCGAATCCCCGCGACAGGGTGAGCTCCTGTTGCTCAGTCCCTGCTCCTGCCAACCTAGCAGTTCGAAAGCACGCCAGTGCAAGTAGATAAATAGGTACCACTCCAGTGGGAAGGTAAATGGCGTTTCCGTGCGCTCCTCTGGTTCGCCAGAAGCGGCTTAGTCATGCTGGCCACATGACCCGGAAGGCCAATAAAGCGAGATGAGCGCCGCAACCCCAGAGTCGGTCACGACTGGACCTAATGGTCAGGGGTCCCTTTACCTTTAAACACTCTTACATGTCATGCACCAATTTGTACACCTTTATCATGCCCCGCTCACTCCCTCCCAATTAAGAAGCCCCCAATCTTGTGACCGTTTCTCACAGGCAAGTTCCCCAGCCCCTGCATCATTTTGGTTACCCTTTTCAGGTATAGCAAACAGAACTGGATGCAGCGTTCCAAATACAGTCACATCAGAGATTTGTATGAGGTCACACTGAATGTTGACTAAATTAGAATGGTTCACAATAGTTTTTAAAGTTTCTGTATGGTAGGTTGTACTGTGCAATCCTCTACATGTTTACTTATAAGTTGAGCACAGTGCAGCTTGTTCCTTACAAAGGGTGTATTGGGTTGAATTAGTACTTGAAACCAATGTGGTGTAATCATTATATAGCAGACGTTCAACATTACCACAAGTGGGCACTATTTCAAAGTCCTGTTAGCTGCTGGAATACTGAGGGAATATTAATTTTGTGGTGACACCTACCTTGCGAAAATGGTTATATGAGAACCAAACTATATTTGATGTTCAGTGCCACACTATGCACAAAACTTTAACAGTGCTCAAACATAGCTATCCAGTGAAACCTGCATTTCTTCGAATTTTAGGTGGTTAACTGAGAATGTTCCCCACTCCACCAAACCCAGGGCTGGATTAAGACCTTTAGAGGTTCTAAACACTTAAAAGATTCTGGTGCCCCCCATATATATCTAAGTCAAAATATAAACAATAATAAAGCATAAAATAACATTTTATTTTTCAAAATGAAACAAAACCTACAGTAAAATGGAAAATGTTTATTTTTGTATAAAGGTAAAGGTACCCCTGCCCGTACGGGCCAGTCTTGCCAGACTCTAGGGTTGTGCACCCATCTCACTCAAGAGGCCGGGGGCCAGCGCTGTCCGCAGACACTTCCGGGTCACGTGGCCAGCGTGACATCGCTGCTCTGGCGAGCCAGAGCCGCACACGGAAATGCCGTTTACCTTCCCGCTAGAAAGCGGTCCCTATTTATCTACTTGCACCCGGGGGTGCTTTCAAACTGCTAGGTTGGCAGGCGCTGGCACCAAGCGACGGGAGCGCACCCCGCCACGGGGATTCGAACCGCCGACCTTTCGATCGGCAAGCCCTAGGCGCTGAGGCTTTTACCCACAGCGCCACCCGCATCCCATTCTTTTTGTATACTTCCACTTTATACCTGAAAAAATTATCCTACTTTTCTAATGGCAAATCAGATTCTCAAAACTAATGTTATGTAACTCATCTGCTTCTATAGTTAGTTGAGATAAGGCATCCAGCTTGCCTTGTTGCATAGTTGTCCTGTTGGGATTATTAATATACTTCAAATGAGAAAATGAACGCTCAGCTGAGCAATTTGTGATAGTTAATGTTAAAAATCTGGCAATGGAAAATTTATGTGGTGCCCCCTTTCCCTTGATGCCCTAAGCATGTGCTTGTTTTGCTAAATGGTAATCCAGCCCTGGCCAAATCTCTTAATTCTGCTTCATTGTAGTGTGGAGTCCCCTGCTTACTAAGATGCAAGTCCTTTCTTGTGTATGCATAGAATTACAGTGGATCCCTAACGCCCTGGAACTTGGACGTTTTGGCTCCTGAATGCTGCAAACCCGGAAGTGATTGTTCCGGTTTGCGAACGTTCTTTTGGAAGCCGAACGTCTGACGGGGCTTCAGCGACTTCTGATTGGCTGCAGGAGCTTCTTGCAGCCAATCAGAAGCCGCAATTTTGTTTTCGAATGTTTTGGAAGTCGAACAGACTTCCAGAATGGATTCCAGTCGACTTCCAAGGTACAACTGTACTGCCATAAAAGCAAAAAACAAATAAATAGTTAGCTGAAGATAATAAATACTGTGTATACCAAGTGATGGAATTAAATAGAAATTGAATGCTTTTTATCTGATACATTTGCCAGGGGGTGACCTACCCAGCGTGTCATGGAATGTGGAGTAAATGGGCACCTCCACTTGAAAGAAGTAGACTAGCAACCACATCTTTCTGTGGTAAGTTTTCATATATATTTTTGAGAAAAAGTTCATGTGTACTGTGACTTTAAAGAAAACATAGCATTAATTATAAATAATAGGGTCTCAGGTCACTCCTCATTTGAGGGCTTCTGACTGTTTCCATTCCAGGGGTTGAAAGGCATAATCTAGTTCCCTGGAGGAGATCTCTTAATATCCCAAGAATGCATAACCTGTCATCAGTTTCTTTCAAAATGGAGTCAAGGGTAAAAGTCTTATCTGCCATTTCTCATTCAAGGAGAATTGTTCCCATTCCCCCTTTCAATTGCGGGAAAAAGAAAAGGAAGTATATCTTAGCTCTTCTCTCTCCATTTAAATTCCTCTAATTTTTTACCTTTCCACATTTCTTTGCTAATTCAGATTTTTGCTGGCCTGTTTACCGCTCACCCACATACTTAATTTTAAGACATTATTTTTCTGCTCTGTCTTTTTCTAGTGGCTCCCCATTTGTGGAATGCTCTCCCCAGCGAGGGTAATCTGGCAACTTCGTTAAGTAGCTTAAACTGCTAGGCAAAATAAATAAATAAATAAATAAATCCTCTTCTTCCGGACCTCAGGCTAATTAAACAATCTATGGCCTTTTAAACAGTATTATTTTTACTTTGTTTGTTGCTGTGTATTTATGTTGTTAGGTATTTTTGTGCTCTTACATTGTAAACCACCCTGTGAGCCTCAGATGAAGGATGGTATAGAAATTTAATAGATAATAATCTGTCTCTCAGCTCTGGTCTTCTCACTTATACCTCTCTCTGTCTCTTTTGGCATTATCTTGCTAGAATAATTCATTCTCCCTCAGTGTCTGAACTGCTTCCCTCTTTTAAGTTCCAGTTTGTTTGCATACAGTGTGAATATTTGACTGAGTGTGCAGATATAGTAAGCTAAAATCTATTTATTTCATTAGGCAACTTGCTGTGTTTGATTGAGTTAATGCTTAAAAAAAGTGGTTGGAAAATACCTTTTAGGTTATACTACACACATCAAGCATGAATAATCACAAGTTAAACGAGTTCGGTAATGAATTATTCCAAGGGCAGCTCCTAGTGAGGTGTTCTCAACATGCCCAACAGTGGTTCATATGTAGGTTAACTCTTCATTAACAAAGTATGAAGCAATGTCAATTGAGGAAAAGAAGAACACCTGAGTCTGTTCATCCCTTGGAATAATTCATTAGCAACACTAGTAAAGGCCAAACTAGAATTTCATGGCTTGTCTATATGAGTTCTCAATATGATTGAAATAACATGTTTGTGGGGTTTCTTTAGCCATTCATCACTGGCATCTTATAATCTCAAAGTCTATTAAATCATACTCCTTAGAATTGTTTTTCCCCCCTGACTTCTTATATTTTACAGTACATTTAGAAACATTTCCCCAAAGGGCTTCTGTCCCTTTAAGACCTCTCAGGATGACATTCCACAAGTGTAAGTTCTCTTCCCATAGTGCTACAGCAATGAGCTGTACCTGCTGAATGCTACTAACCTTCTTAAAGGGACAGAATCTGTTATGTCAGTCATGGCCAAACTTGGCCCTCCAGCTGTTTTGGGACTACAATTCCCATCATCCCTGACCACTGGTCCTGTTAGCTAGGCATGATGGGAGTTGTAGTCCCAAAATAGCTGGAGGGCCAAGTGTGGCCATCACTGTGATTACATGCACTGGCATGCACTGATTAGGATGATTGTAAGTCTCTCCTTTTGTCAACTGGCTATGGTACAGTTCTTCAGCAGAAGACCCTGCTGCTGTGAGCTACCTGAATTAATAAATGATAATGAGTTGGAGGTGTTGGAACACAATTATTGACCTATATACGCATGCCTTTTATCTGCAGGCTCCTATGCGGGGGCTGTGGTTGCTATGCCACTAGCTGGCGTATTGGTGCAGTACATAGGATGGTCATCTGTCTTTTATATATATGGTAAGTTGTCTAGTGGCAAAAATGAATGCAATTAAAACTGTACAATAAAGTTATAAACTATGTTAATATAGCTGTGCTCCAGAATTTTTTGCCTCCCTTTTCTTTTTTTAAAGGGGTGGGGTTATTAGTTTAGCTTTATTCTGCATGGGCTTTGAAGACACTCAAACTCAGGACGCAAGGGAGAAACATGCTAAGAGGAAGGCACACTTGGCAAATCCACACCGTGATCAACTCCTGCCTGGAAACCAATGTCCCCACTGTGGAAGGACGTGTGGATCCAGAATTGGCCTCCACAGTCACTTATGGACTCATTGTTAAAACTGTGTTTATGGAAGACAATCTTACTCGGCTACGAGTGATCGCCAAAGAAGAAGAAGATTATTGAAATAATATTGCTAGATGCCTTGACTCTTACATATTGTGCTCAACATGAAGTAGTGTTGACCATTTCATGTTTCCTTGAATTCCTCTGCAGGAATATTTGGGATTATCTGGTACATGTTCTGGCTGTTGCATGCCTATGAGAGTCCAGCTGTTCACCCAACAATAACCACCGAGGAAAGAACTTACATAGAAACAAGTATAGGAGGAGCCAATCTTGTCAGTGCCAGTGTAAGTTAAAATACTGTAGTATTCATTTTATTTTTTGTTACATTTTCATCCCATGTTTCCTCCAAGGAGCTCAAGGTTGCGTACCTGGTTCTCCTCCTCTCCATTTTTATCCTCTCAACAATCCTGTAATGTAGGTTAGGTTGAGAGACTGTGACTGGCCTAAAGTCACTCTGTGAGTTTTATGGCTGAGTTGGGGATCTGAACCTGTATCCTAGTCCATCACTCTAACCACTATGCCATGCTGGCTGTAGCGCACCTTGTCATTTCTTAGCTGCTTAGTCTTCGCAGATGGTTTGTTCTTCAAAACTACTATACAAACATTTTACAACCCTACCTCATAATTTTGTATACAATTTCCCTGGTCATTGTTGCAAGTTCTAATGTCAGATTAACACCCCGCTCCTAAACTTTTATGGCCATGTGTCTTCGCTGATATCATTGTAATGTCCCTAAATCACTGATGTTGTGTCATATTTTATGCTGATATAGCTGATAATATACCCAGCTTGAAGCTTTTAGTGGTTTCCCCACCCCAAAATGGGTAATTCCAATTTTTTAAGCTATGTTTTCTTATAGAACCATAGTGCTACAAATGAAAAAAACTTTACAATAATGTATGATTTTGCTGTTTTCTGGTATCTGTACAAAAGGACTCTGAGAATGCTTAGAAGTGTGGCATCACTTATTGTCAGCCTTCCAGTTACTGGGCTCCGGCAATGCAAACACATCAAAAGTGGGTTTCGATAACCCAAGTTCTGTAAATGTAATAGACTGGAGTACTTTCCCCCTATTTTAGTTTCAAAGCTTTTAACACACAGTGGCTGACTATTCCTCACTTTTCTCAGAACATGAAGGTCTGAAAACTTTTTTTTAAAATGAATATCTCGGTATTAAGTATTACACGAGTATGTAAGTCTTACATTACTTATGAAAGCCACTGCATAGTGTTTGCATTCTATTGCTGAATTCAGATGTTTTTCAATAAGGTTAAAGATGTAGTCCTAAATACACATACTAGTAAATGAGACCCACCACTGCATTCCGGCCAGTTCATTGGTGTAGCTCCCACATTGCCCATCCCCCCAGTAAGTGGCAGTGATGCTGCTACTGGGAGACTATTGTTCTGGCTGTGCTCCACAAGGTGAACTACTACTGAGCCACAATGCACAGTGGAACCTTCTTACTGAGTAAACACACATTAGGATTGTGTGGTACAATTGATATTAGAGGGGACATTCTTATCAATATAGTTATATAACTGGTTCTAACTGCTGCCACACTGCAGATGATTTTTCAAATTGGACATTCTCTCTTCTAGAGATTTAGTACGCCATGGAAACGGTTTTTCACTTCAATGCCGGTTTACGCAATCATTGTGGCAAACTTTTGCAGAAGCTGGACTTTCTACTTACTGCTGATAAGTCAGCCTGCTTACTTTGAAGAGGTCTTTGGATTTGCAATAAGTAAGGTATGTGAATGAATCCAAGGTCTGGTGTTTTTTTTTAGGACTCTGATGATAAAAAGGTGAGAGAGGAAAATATGAATCCCTGTGACCCACATGTGTGGGGTAAATAACAAAAGAATCTGCTGGGTGCCTGGATTCAAAACATGGGGCATAACACACTCTCCAACAGTAGTGAGCCACCAGTAGCAGAGTTTAAACACACGGAAGTCAAGCAACAGTGTAGTGTTAGGAATATAGGTAGTTAGACCCTTTTATCCCATTTAGTTGCGTACAGTGATTGCCCCTTTCTACCCTTCTTGCAATGAACTGCTAAGGCCACACACTGCTAAGTAAGTTAAAAATGCTTTACTTACAGATCCAAAGGTCAGATTCATGGATTTATCCAAGCAGCAGCAAGAAGTAAACAGGCAGAATACCCTTGAGTAGAATAAACAGAAAGATAGCTTCAAGCATGTGCTTTAAGTGCTTTGGCACATCTTTCTTGCTCGGTTACATGGCGCAGAGAGCGAAAGATCAGGAAGAGAAGGCTTCACTTCATCCCTCATCAGAGAAGATAGGGCTAGGTTGACCGCTTCATGCATGCTAGTTTGACTGCAATTTCCCAGGAAAAAAATCAGTAAGGTTGAAGATCCTCAGAAGTAGCCATATTGGATTTCTCCATTTGTATCATTGTTTCATAATCTGGTAACTTATATGGGTATCTCAGTAGAGTCCCAGCCAGGTACTGATTATATCCATCCATTCAAACTCAGCTTTAGCATGAAGTGCTCCCAGATCATTCACTGCACTGGTTTGATTGGATAAAGCAGACAAAACATGGGCACCATTCCATTCATATACATACAGTACACTTCCACAGAATTGTGTGCATTTACTTTCAGGTTGGCCTTTTGTCTGCTGTTCCACATATGGTCATGACCATTATTGTGCCTATTGGAGGGCAGCTGGCTGACCTTTTACGCAGCAGAAGAATTTTAAGCACAACTGCAGTAAGAAAAATAATGAACTGTGGAGGTATGGTTACATTTTATAGATAAAATGTTTGAATTATATGTTACTACCTAATGTAGAAATGTGTGGTGTGCAGCTTATTGTGTGTAATTGTAATACCCAATTCATCTGCTTTGGCACTTGCCAGTGCCAGTGTCTTGGAACAGATGAATTGGGTATTACTGCATGGGCCACATGGATGGGCATTTCCTGTTAAAGAACACTAGCCTTTCAGCAGCTTTCTTGGTTGCTGATAGTTGATTGGAGAATGGGACTCATTTACCCAACAAATTTACCACTATTAACTTTCTTTCTGCATAACTGGGTTGTATAAAGCAACACCATTACTGTCTTTGATTTATATACCTGGTTCTGGTTGATGCAGAGCCCCAGAATATGTGAGATGTCAGTCTTGCTACCTACACCTTTTAGTAATTGATTGGACTGCTGCAATAGTGAAACAGGATCACGTCACTCTTCCAGAGGCTTGCTTCATACATCACAATAAGTAAAAGTTTAAAACGCATTGTCGTTTAACATGAGCAAGCAGGGTGTTGGTGCACACCATGCAAAAGTGTACCTCGTTCATTCCTGCCATGCCACAGATGCAACAGGTCAGAGTCATCTGAGCCCAGGCTTGGTTACTGCAAATGGTTTGAACAATCTTTAATTACCATTGATTGTTTATTATGAGGAAACAAACTACAAGCCCTCATGCAGATGACACAGCAAATCAGACTCTGCAATGCAGTAACAGCAGGAGCAGTGGAGGAGCATTTCAGCTGCATGCGAACTGGCCAGTGTCAGTCAAGATATGTTATTGGGGTGAAATGCAAAATCATTACCTATACTTGCCCAGCATATTACTCTCTTTCAGGACCATCTTTGCAAAGACATATGGGGCATTTCTATGGAAAACATCAATGAGAAGACTCAGATAAAAGCTTTCTTAAGATGCTCTTTTAAAGAGTATGGAATGTTGGGGGAGGGGGAGGTTTGGCTGAAGGATATATTGCATCAAATCTAAACCAAAATGGGAGAAAAGAATGGGAAAGGGGAAGTTTGTGAAGAGGGGGAAAAAGCTGATAAATACATAGATAAGTGCTAACGGTACGAATAAAAGATGTGATTTTTCATAGAGTTACATAATATACTGGGACGTGGGTGGCGCTGTGGGTTAAACCACAGAGCCTAGGACTTGCCGATCAGAAGGTCGGTGGTTTGAATCCCCGTGATGGGGTGAGCTCCCATTGCTCGGTCCCTGCTCCTGCCAACCTAGCAGTTTGAAAGCACGTCAAAGTGCAAGTAGATAAATAGGTACTGCTCTGGCGGGAAGGTAAACGGTGTTTATGTGCGCTGCTCTGGTTCGCCAGGCTTAGTCATGCTGACCACATGACGTGGAAGCTGTACGCCGGCTCCCTCGGCTAATAAAGCAAGATGAGCGCCGCAACCCCAGAGTCAGCCAAGACTGGACATAATGGTCAGGGGTCCCTTTACCTTTTTACATAGTATACTGTGAGTTTAGCAACAGAGAAGAGGGATCACAGTGAACAAATAACTCTTCTTCAGTAGGAGTATGGGAACAGAATGTAATATACTGCATTTATCAGTGAATTGTTTTCCCCCTCTGTGTTATTTTCTGCAGGTTTTGGAATGGAGGCTACTTTACTTTTGGTAGTTGGCTTCTCTCACACAAGAGGTGTTGCAATCTCTTTCTTGGTTTTAGCAGTAGGCTTCAGTGGATTTGCTATTTCAGGTAAAATGAAAAATATTTTTGGTCTGCTCAAGGCATTTTCTCTATGACTGAAGAGAGTAGCCCTGCATTGTTGACTAATTTTCTATGTTACAGGATTTAATGTCAACCATTTAGATATTGCGCCCCGGTATGCCAGCATCCTAATGGGCATCTCTAATGGAGTGGGGACACTGTCAGGAATGGTGTGCCCCCTCATCGTTGGTGCAATGACTAAGCACAAGGTAAGATGTTTAGATTGTTTTCCCTGGAAATATGTTCAAATGCATTGCAGTCAATTATCACTATAAAGGATCGATACCCTTGCCTACTCCAAACCATCCCCAGTCATTTTGAAAAATGTTATTGGCATGTTTAAGGGCTGAGCCTTCACTTCAGTAGGTGTAATTTAGCATTAGTGAATACTTGACGTGCTGGTTGTTGAAAAAGGCTGAATAAAGGAAATATGCTTTTCTCTTATTTTTACTCATGTGTTCTGTTAAAATAGCCGAAGAGCAATATGGAAAATTCTATGAACTTTCCTGTGTTAGGCCTCTGTGATAAAAGGTTACAACAGGACATGTCAAGAAAGACTTGACTTCCATGGGATCAGGCCCAGCTGCTGAGGTCCACACACCCCAGCAAAGGACTGACATCTATGCTCTGGAAGCCTGTGCCAGCATTGCTTCTGCCCCTTGCCCCAACTACGTTTTCCTGCCAACACAAACCCTGTCCCAGGTCATGCCACAGCCTCCCATTTCTCACCCTGCATGGGCCTGGTACCGCTAGGAGCAGGGCCAGGTGGTTGCCATGTTATATAGTGGTACCTCGGGTTACAAACACTTCAGGTTACAGACTCCGCTAACGCAGAAGTAGTACCTCTGGTTAAGAAATTTACCTCAGGATGAGAAGAGAAATCGCACGGTGGCAGCACGGTGGCAGCGGGAGGCCCCATTAGCTAAAGTACATCAGGTTAAGAATGGTTTCAGGTTAAGAACGGACCTCCGGAACAAATTAAGTTCGTAACCAGAGGTACCACTGTATTTCCCAATAAGGACACCAGGGGTTGAATTTTGGAGCATATCACATGATAACTGCCCAAGCAACCACTCAGCTCACATTCCAACAGTCCCAGGGACACCAGGAATTCTGGTCCAGGGAAGGAGTGAATCACTCGTGGCCACAGAACTGCCACAATGCTAAGAAGGTCTATACCAGCACTCTGGGGACTTCTCACGAGTCCTGTGTTGAAAGCCCCACTCAAATGCTGGACCTGCACCAAATGCTTCTCTGCCATTATAGCAATCCATATTTCTGTGAAATAAAGCAAGTTCTGCTGTGTATTTTGATATCCATAGTATCAGAGAAAAATAAAATCTTTCAAAATTCAGGTTAGAAAATAGAATGGATAACAGTCACTTCATTTCTCTAACTTCTGGCTTTATTTTGGATTCTTACTACCTGTTGTGAGTAACTTGTCCTATATCATTCCTCCAGACCCGTGAAGAATGGCAAAATGTCTTCCTAATAGCTGCCCTAGTTCACTATAGTGGAGTGATATTTTATGCCATCTTTGCTTCTGGTGAGAAGCAGGAATGGGCTGACCCAGAAAGCTTGAATGAAGAGAAATGTGGAATAATTGACCAAGATGAACTGGCTGAAGAGACTGATCTGAGCAATGAAACCTTCGTTAGCCCGAAGAAAACATATGGTGCTACTGTTCAAGATGACGAATGGCGAAGGAAAGCGTTGCAAAAGCAAAAGGGAGTGGTGCAAGATGCAGAAGAAGAGACTTCGTGTCAGTATGAAAATGGGACTTATCAAGATTCATCATAAATCTCACTATGTATGATTTGTGTGATTGTTACAATCGCTGTACGAAACAAAGCAGTATCTATATGTATTTGGTTGGGTTCTTTTTGTAGATAATCATGCCAAATGGCTAGATGTAAGATATTGTCATTTTCAACTTGTAGTACAGCAAAACTGGGTTCCCAGAAGTCCCTGTGGTAAACTTATGGATTCAGATCTCTGTGTAAAGGTCACAGTCCTTTACATCACATGAATTTTCACTAAAGGCAACAAAGTTCTGGATGTACCATGTCACCCTTTAGTAATATAATTATGTTATTGGCTCTTAACACCATGACTGCCCAGTCCTTTAGCAGATTCCGCCCCCCCATCCCCACCCCCGCTCTGTTCATCCCTTTCCGTATGCAACAGATAATGTATTATGGCAGAGGAGAAAATGAAATGTTTAACCAAAGACTAAATCATTGACAACAAAGGCAATTTGTTAGAGACTCTTTTCGGAAACCCACTGGAGAGCTTATTTTACTTCTCAATTTTTAATTGCTGGCAGAGATAACATATGGATCTCCAAGACTGGGATTTATTTATTTTTTAGCCTCTCCAAAATGTATATGTGTGTTATAAATGTTGATGTGTATTATGTCATTGATCCTCAGCAAAGGGTGTACAGGTTTGCTTGTTTATTAAAATGGTCGTACCCCATTTTTCTATAAAAAAAAATGTCTCCAAGAGAGCTGGAAATATGAAATCGGATAAAACAATGTTTAAAACGCAACTAAAGAATAAACAGGAAACAATACAACAGCAAGAACAGTCTTTTCAATAACAGTCATTTCAAGCAATACTAAAACACTGTTCAATTCAAAAGCCCTCTGGAATAAGTCAGGGTTTTACTGCATAGTGCAATTCAGAGGAGAGCAATGATGGGCCAGGCAGGTGCCATGACTGAAAAGGTCCTGCTGTGTACCCCCCCTGCCCCACTTCAGATGGTGAATGAATATATATCAGTTCTTCATATCGGCAGAGGTGGTCCTTAACAGTCTGCGACCAGCTTATCTTTAGGTTCAGAAGGGCCAGCAATTGACTCTACAAGGTGGAAGGGAAATAGGCAATTTGGGAGGCGAATGCTCTTCTTTGCTTCTGAAATCTGCTGTTATATACTCGCTTGTAAACTAAAGGCCCGGGCTAATGGAAACTTGGAGTGGGGGCAGGGAACCCACTGAAATCCTTTTGTGCAATTCTTTTGTGCAAGAGAACAGTTGTCCTCTTTAACTCTTATTTATTTCAGTGTAGTTTGCATAGATGATGTTCGCTTTAGGCTGGGTCCTATGTATGTTATGCAATGTATTTTGAGGAAGCAAACATGTATTATTTAAAAGGGGATCTGCTGGTTATTAAAGTTCTTACAATAATATTTTTACATCAAGCAGTATGTTTGATATTACTGAAAGGCCTAAATCTTTTCCCACCAACTCTGACAACCACATGGCAAGCATGCTGTATCACTCTCAAATTGCTACTGGCTTTTCCGAGGCTCGCAGTGTTTTCTGATTGAAGAATTTCAGTAAATGATGGATTCATTTGTTTTCATGTTATCACTCTCTCAGTAAAATTCAAGTGAAACCATTTTGTCACATTGTGATTCTTATTGACTCTGTCATGTTGTGCAACTGTGACATTGTAACAGAAATTGTTAATCTGCAAGAAACTTGTAACAGCAGGAAGCAAGAGGAATCTTTCCATGCCATTGAAATGCTGCTACAATTCTTTCAAGGTTCTTAGTGGGAGGCAGAAAATGGTCAAATTGAGGGTGATTAAATCTGCCTATAACTTTAAATGTTGTTGCATATATAAAAGGTAAAGGTAAAGGGACCCCTGACCATTAGGTCCAGTCGTGGCCGACTCTGGGGTTTTGGCGCTCATCTCACTTTATTGGCCGAGGGAGCTGGCGTACAGCTTCTGGGTCATGTGGCCAGCATGACTAAGCCGCTTCTGGCAAACCAGAGCAGCACACGGAAACGCCGTTTACCTTCCCGCTGGGAAGGTATTTATCTACTTGCACTTTGACGTGCTTTCGAACTGCTAGGTTGGCAGGAGCAGGGACCAAGCAACGGGAGCTCACCCCGTCACAGGGATTTGAACCGCTGACCCTCTGATCAGCAAGTCCTAGGCTCTGTGGTTTAACCCACAGCGCCACCCGCATCCCCCGTTACATATATAGAGTTAAAAATTAATAAAAATGGTAGAATTTAGATAACATTTGGAGTATTGAAGGGAAGATTCCAAGGCAATGGAAAAATGCAGGCTAAGCTTCCTTTCCCGGTCAGGGCCTCACCTGGAATAGAGGTTGTCAACATGACAAAAGGCGTTGATGGCCCATCAGAGAGAAATCCTTGGGTCTGTGCAAACAGAAATCATGTGCCAAGGTTAGGGGAGGGCATGATGCCACACAGCAAAGATTCTTTGGGAGGAGAAAGGAGGTGCCAGAACTCTGGGCAGAGGCCATGCAGGGCAGAAACATCTCAACTGGCTGGCTGAAGGCAGGGAGAGAAGCCCTGGGATGTCTGGGAATCCAACGCTGGGCTGCTGTGAAAGAAGAGCTTCTCCTGAGATGTGAATGCTATGAAATCTCTCTCCACTGAAAGCTTCTGGTGTAAATATGTGTAGAATAAACCATATTTCTTAAAGACACAGGAGTCTCTGCCATGTCTTGAGTCTCATCTGGAACTCCCTGGAACAATCTTTGCTACCTGCTTGGCAGAGATTGGGGGTGGCACACAACCTTTGTAGCCGTATATATGTCTGATATTACAGTTGCCATTCTTGAACTGGGTTTTCCACCCACGATTAAGATACTAGCTGATATCGGATAGATTTAGGGCCAGTCCCGAAGCATTCTTTTGCCTGAGGCAAAAAATGAAACAAGATGGAGCTTCCTATTCCATGCACAGAAGCTGAATGGACTGATCATTGAGTCTTACTTCAACACACCTGAGGTAAGCAGGCTCTTGGCTTTTGAGCTCAGGTTATCTATCCCAGGGATGTCCAACAGGTCGATTGGGATCTACTGGTCGATCCCTGGGAGGCTTTGGTAGATCACAGTTGATCGCTAGCTCCTCCATCCGCCCCCCCCCCAATCCTCTAGATCGCTATAACAGAAGATGCGAGTTTTCTCAGTGAGGCTGAGTGTCTCCTTAGCAATCTATTGTTGAGCACCTTTTTTCATTTATTAGACCTGACCCCCCCCCAAATGGGACATTCCTCCCTAAGAAATGCTCAACAACTTGGACCTGAACCTGAAACCCCCCAAAAAGGGATGTTCCTCCCTCAAAAAAGCTCAGTAACTTTGACCTGAACCCCAGGTAGATCACTGCCAGATTTTAATCGTGTGAGTAGATCGCAGTCTCTTGGAAGTTGGACATCCCTGGTCTATCCTTTTAGCCTTGATCTTGAGTGGTCTTTGGCAAGTATCTATTGCTCACCCTCAATTTGTCTTCTGTAAAATAAGAATTGGAGTAAGCTCTGCCCTGTTCTGCAAAGCTAAACAAGACAAAGATGGCATAGCAGTTAGCCCAGTACAGAAGAGATCAGAGTGCACCTCAGATATTTAAAATGACTGTGCAGCGAGTCTTATAAATACTTGTTTCAAATGATGTTTCCCCTTTCTTACAAAGACTAGAATAATATAATAAAACTAAATATTTTCCATGTTTTAGATTATGATAAGACTTAATCCTGGCAAGGAAATATGCTCTGGTCTTCATTACTTATAACATTTTTGCATCCTCTTCCTTGAAGTGTTTATATTATTCAGCATATGGTGTTCTGAAATTTTCCTTATCTTCCCGATAACACAAGAAAATATTGGAACAGCATAATTAGAAACATAAATATAACTTTTTGTCTAGTTTTTGAATTCATGCATGCTTTTGAAACGACATACTTTGTTTTCACCAATGATAATGTAATGCAGATTTATTAATCCTTTTTTATATGAAAATACTTCCATACCACCCATTTTCCTGTTGGACTGGGATTGGCTGCTCCAAGAACCAAACTAACCAGGATGTTGGAAATTTCTAGCTTTCTATTATACAGTGGTACCTCAGGTTACATACGCTTCAGGTTGCATATGCTTCAGTTTACAGACTCCGCTAACCCAGAAATAGTGCTTCAGGTTAAGAACTTTGCTTCAGGATGAGAACAGAAATCATGCTCCGGCAGCGCAGTGGCAGCAGGAGGCCCCATTAGCTAAAGTGGTGCTTCTGGTTAAGAACAGATTCAGGTTAAGTACGGACCTCCGGAACGAATTAAGTACTTAACCTGAGGTACCACTGTAATTTATTTTAAAAGCAGCAGTGTGTGTGTGCACACATGTGCAGTGGGAGTAGGTGGGTAATTATATCAAGACTGGAGGAGGAGGAGGAATTAATCTTTTCGTTCTCCACAGATTCCCCACTGTAAATTCCAGTTATTAACTACGAACCCCAAAATTGGGATCCCCTCCAAACCTGTGCCAAAGTTTTGTAGTTGTTTTGCAGTGATTTTCAGCATTAACCCCTGCGTTTTGCAGCACCGCCCCCAACTGAGTAATTGATACATCAAACTGTGGTTCATGGTTAATACAGTGGTACCTCGAGTTACAGACGCTTCAGGTTACAGATTCTGCTAACCAGGAAATAGTACCCCGGGTTAAGAACTTTACCTCAGGATGAGAACAGAAATTGCACGGCGGCCGCACGGCGGCAGTAGGAGGCCCTATTCGCTAAAGTGGTACCTCAGGTTAAGAACAGTTTCAGGTTAAGAACGGACCTCCAGAATGAATTAGGTTCTTAACCCGAGGTCCCACTGTACCCAGAAACCCATGGGGCATGGGATCAATTGCAGAATTTGGAAAAGAGAAGGTCAACAACACCTGCAGGAGAAGGTGTGTAGAAGAAAGTAAGACTTCCAGAAGAAATAACACCAATGTTGGAAGTGTTGGTGAAGGGGAAAGGTAAATGGCCAATTCAGTGGGGGCCAGTAGCTGATTGGGTTAAGAGAGGAAAAGATCATGGGGCATGGCTGATTTTTCTAGGTTCTAGAGGAAAGAGAAATGGCAATCTTGGTAGGGAAGAAACAGCAAATGGGAATGATTTTGAGAGAGAGAGAGAGAGAGCAGGTAGTTGCAACAATGGTTGAAGCATCCAGCATCAGGCACACTCTACCTGTTATTGTATGAGTAGTGGACTCTGAAACTTGCTCTGTCTTTCATTTATGGATCACATAGGAGTTTGTTTCTT